GTATTTTGCAACTAATTGAATTTATTCTTATTAGGTACAATGTTCCCAATAAGAACAGGTTATGTAAAACATATAAAAAACAATGTATTTTTAGTGAACGTTTTTTTTTCATCTGTATTTGGAAATTTCATTGTGGTTTCGTCACAAAAAAAGTTTTCTTGACTGATGGCCCAATAACTTCCAACAGTTCAATACAAACGAAACTTTTCTTTTTTTTTTTATCCATGACACTAAATCAAAATTGTGGTCTTACCAATAAATAATATCTTCGTTAAATTGTGACAACTTAGCCGTAATTTCGTATCGATTCAAAATATAAAAACTTTGTGCAATATCTACATATGTTTTTCTGTTATTGTGTTTCTTTGATTATAAAATAACTTCCAGAAAAATAATTAAAGTATCGCGAACAATCCGATGCTCGACATAACATTGATATAAGGCGATAGTTGCAAGTAAAAATAGAGTAAAGTTGAATTTGATGAAGTAAACTAATCATAACAGTGTTCAACTTATTACTAGTGTTTGATTTGTTTTCATTGGTTTATTTTCATATAATTTTAAAGCAAAGAAAATATATAGTTAATATAAAGCTTACCAGGTACTTATATCAGTAATAGATGTAAATAAATTTTTAAAGAGAAAAAAAAGATTTCCTATTCGAAAACAGGTGATTGTACAAGTTCCTTGTCATGTGCAAAAATCGGAAGAGTTACATCAAAATCATTACAGAAGAGAGAGAGAGGATGAAAAGAAGAAAAATCTTTCGTGCGAATGTATCAAGACAAAAATAATGGTAAACAAGGTGAACAAATCAGTTGTTGTAAAATACAAAAATGGAATATATTCATAGGTTTGAAGAATGAAAGATATAAATATGTAAATAAAGATATTGTACTAGCCCACGATGATGATAGAAAGAAATTTAAACAAAAAATTGCCACATAACGGGAATAATAGATATTACATAAAAATTACTCATGAACGTATATGTATGTTTATGTTATCGGTATGATGTGATTGTTAAGTTTGATGGAGTAATAATGTTGTTCGTTTGTCTGATAATTTACGTTTTTTTCTGGAATTTGTATTTCGCCACTACACCAAAATATAGCATATAAGCGCATGAATGATAGAGAATTAATAAGATTTTAACTCAATAGAATTATATAATTCGAAAATAATAGAAGTATTAACAGGTTATAAATTTATTCCAATTGAACATTGCTGTAATTGTATTTTATCTAAACAAAATGTCTATCTAGCTTACTATTGGTGATGTCTTAGGCAACTAACTTTGAAATTTTTTTACCTTTAAGACTTGAAATGAATGATTTGAATTATTGAAAAAATCAAACAAATTAGTATGAATGCTAATCCCAAAATGTCTGCGTTATGATATCGTGATTTTTATAAAGTATTAACACATTCAATGGATATCGATGAATTCTTTACATATCTTTGTTGTGATAATAATTAATCACAGGCAAGACAATTCTATATAATGATTTTCAATGTCAAAAGGCCAAAAAATGCTGCTGTTGAATCCATTGGACAAAAATCATATTTGAAAACTTTATTAAAGCAGCAATAACAACTTATTATCGAACAGTAACGTGGATATCATTAACCCTTTCGAGGAGATGTCGCCCACCGGTGGGCGACGCTATAGTTTAACGACAAACTGTATAGAAAAGCACTTACTTTTGCCTTTTTCTTAAGCAGGAGATTAAACATAAGATGTCATATCTTCTGTCTTCAATACTTTATTTGAATCCTTTATTCCATAGCATAATGCTTATCATTAAAACACTCAAGACAAAAAAATTTATCACAGTCAGAACAGAAAGTTTCTACTTTCTTTGCTGCCGCATTGCTCGCTTCTCTTGGCATAATTCCAAAAAATTTGAGCATTTCTTCACGAGTAGTTGGTTTCCATTGAAGAGTATTTGATCGTTTGCTAAGTTCCTGGCTTTGAAAGTGTTGTTGTGCATATCGATTAGTTTCATGAACCATTAGACTAATCGTTTCGTCAGTGATGAAATGTCGATAACAATCAATAGGATTAATTGTATTATCTTCCGAAGTTGGCATTACTTCTTCGACGATTCCATGATCTTCCTGAAACTCAGCATCCGCTACTGATTCTATTTCATTTCAGGTTTGTGAATTTAAGTCATCATCAGTAACTTCTTCAGAACTTGAAGACTCGAATTGCATTCTAGCAAAATCATCATCCAAAGACCTCACACCACTCAGTGAGTTTTCGCTGTTTTCTGTATCAATTTCTTCAGACGACATGTAAATCAGCTCAAAACTTCAACTGTTCTGGTACACATGAGAGAAAAGAATCAAAGATAATGCTACGAAAAGAATGCAAAAGAAAAAAAAACGAAATTGCATTTCGTTATCTCGTTTCTACTGTGTAATACATACGAAAAAGAAAGTAAACGTGAATAATTACCCAATGCGATGAGAAAGAGAATCATCTATGTAGTGATACACCCAAGAAAAAGAAAAGCAAATAGCTCCACACACTAAAAAGGTCAACGAATGTATTTATCGTGGATAAATATACATGAAAATCAACAAATTAAAATTATTTTCTATCAAAATCGAATCGCCTCGAAAGGGTTTATTTTGCGGTAATATTCTCTAATTTCCTCACCTCTTTCACTGTACCTCGGCCATACTTTTTCCCGAGGCGTTTAATAATATGGACATCATTTGATAGGATTAAGTTTATAAATGAAAAAATTAAAGTAATTAAACTATCAATCATGTTTTATTTAATAAAAATAATTGTGACGTTTCGTCTTAACTAAGGACATCATCAGACACGTGTGAGTGAAGAGAGATATACAAAGTATATATATATGAAAAAATAAATTAGTCATAGTATAGAATTTTCTTAAACATTCATTCCAATGCAGATGACTCATCGTTCTCCCCCTTGCATTGGAATGTTTAAGAAAATTCTATACTATAACTAATTTCTTTTTTCATATATATATACTTTGTACACCTCTTTTCACTCATGGGTGTCTGATGATGTCCTTTGTTAGGATGAAACGTCACAATTACTCTTATTAAACA